TACAAGTTCTACAATATGACTAAAACAGTGGAGGCTTTAATGTTCCCAATTTCGAGCTCTATTATTATTCCTTCACGCTTCGAGCCTTGAAAAACTGGATTGATGAAAGCACCAATGGACCTTGGATTAAAATTGAAAGAAGTATAGTCTATCCCCTTAAACTTGGTGATGTTTTATTTTCTGCCATGTCGCCATATGCATACATTTGGACCAATTATTGGCCAAGCTGTGAAAGTGTGGAAACATGTGGAGAAATGGTGCAATTGGTCTGTAGATTGGCATAGTAACATACCCATTGTTCATAACCTGTTACTACATATTGGAAAAAAAGCAATCCAATTCCCACAATGGCAAAATCCAGGAATACATTATCTTTCTGACATAACTAACGACAACGGCTTGATGTCCTTCCAAGAATTGAAAGACACGTATAATGTGCCTGGCTCTTCTTTCTTTTTCTATTTGCAACTACGTACTACCATGCCATATGGAGCTCCTTGGAATCATATGGATATATTGGCATCTCTGCAGTATGGAACGCAGATCTAAAAAATGACACGCAGACTATTGATTGGAAGAGAATATGGAATAATATCTCCTTAACATCGCGTAACCACAATCACCAATTGATACAGTATAAAATGATACACAGATATTACCTGTCAACCAGAAAATGCTGTCAATTAAGGACGGTTCCTAGCCATATGTACACATGGTTTATGAATGTACTGCAGTAAGAACGTTCTGGAAACAAGTTATTGACATTGTATCTGAGATTATTGGAGTTCACATACCCTGTCTCCCAAATATTGTATTGTTGAATGATGATTCTTCTCTTGACCTACAGAAACATCAGAAAAGGGTGCTTTTCGCTGGTCTAACAGCAGCCAAAAAAATAATTGTAATACGATGGAAACCCCCACATACTTTATTTATTAAGCAATGGATATCATCCTTCCATGATTTACTAATCTCAGAGCTGTCAGTCGCTTCTGCTAATAAGGCTAAGGGGGAAACATTAGAGGCTATTCAAAGAGCTGCTGATCTGGTAATATCATTACACACCTTGGTGCAATTGTAGATTATTAGGAGTCAATCTCAATTCAGTTTAAACAGATTAAATGTTATGTGGAAAAAAAGTTATGAATGTATTTGATGTGGATAAATTGTTATGCTATAATATATATAATATAATAGATAGATGAACTCAGACGATTGCAAACAATCAGGTAGAATTTTCTGTGAAATGGCAAGATGGGTGGGAAGAGGGGGGGACGGGTGGCATGGGAAAGGGATTCCCTATATTATTTTCTTTCTTTTTTTTCTTTTTCTTTTTATTATTGTCTATATAATTTGTATCTGTGTATAAAACTCTGTGAGGGCAAAAAAAAAAAGAAAAAAAGTTGGTCACAAAAAAAACTGTTAAAGCAGCAACAGTACGGTGCAGAAAAATAAAAAGGGTTGACTAATATATTAAACAATAAGGCAAAGTTCACCATGGTAAAAGAGATACGTTGCAATATTTAAAAACATAAGTTAATTAATTAAGACAATAACACCTTTGAATGAAATATATAAATGCCATTACATTACCCAAAGCGACTTAAATACACTTAATACTGCAGGCAGACCCCACAGGAGCAATTTGGGGTGAAGTGTCTTATCAAATGACAGCACTTAAAGCAAAGAAGTAAAGTAAAGAAGTACAAACAAATAAAAAGGTTGCTCTTTCTCTTTGTTCAGTTCTTTAGACATATCCACATTTTTCAGAAACTGTTATATAGAAGCTACAAAAGGGCAATGAGGGTGCTTTATCCAATGGGGAAATTCACCTAAATAACTTTAGTGTTTATGTACTTATCATTAGGCGTTAGCTGTAGTACAATGATGATGAGTTGTAGTTTATATATGGTTGTGATTTCAGCTCTAATGTTGTTTTTTGTCAGATTTCAGAAGCAGACCTGACTCCAGAGCTCCAGCCTCTGTCCTCCTCTGACATCCTGATGGTGGAGGTGGACAACATTCAACACGAACAGTTCACCGTCACAGAGGAAGTCAAGGTACAGAACTCACATTCCAGGGAACCAACAGGAGGGAAATGGAAAGATAAAGAAACTAATCTGATGTGTGTGTGTGTGATGTGTGTGTTCTGCAGGCGCTGACCGCAGAGATAGTGAAGACCATCCGGGACATCATCGCTCTGAACCCTCTCTATAGGTCCGTCCTGACTCCTTACTGCATCACAATCTGTCAAAACGTTGTTTCATTTTGGTTGTGATTATTTAGATTTCGCGATTTATACGAACATAGTAACACTTTAGCCTGTTCCCATTTTTCTTTCATCTGTATCCACATAATTTTTACATAGAAAGAAAACATGAATACAAAAACAATTAAATAAAATGGAGCAGGAGGAGAATTGTATGCACAGTACGGCAAAATCATTGTAGTAATGCATTTACACATTAACCTCGCTTTTTTAAATTAACATTATTTAGTTTGCTATATTTGCAGATTTCGCACTTAGCCTTTAATGTTCTGAAGGCAATTTCGATGTAACTTTTAATTAGCCTTTATGTGAGAATGTAATGTGCAGTCAGTATTTGATTAAGTCTCAGATCAGCAGGAAGGAATCCAAATATGATGATGCTAAAATATAACGGCCTCCTTTCTTGTGTGTGTGTGTGTGTGTGTGTGTGTGTGTGTGTGTGTGTGTGTGTGTGTGTGTGTGTGTGTGTGTGTGTGTGTGTGTGTGTGTGTGTGTGTGTGTGTGCCTAATAAATCCTGACAACCTCTCTACAATAAGGGGATGAGGTTTCTCTTTTCTCCTTGAGGAGTCCNCTCATTAGACACAATAGTAGCAAAGAACTACAAAAGAATGTATACAACAATTAAAGATGACCTAAAAAAGTGGATTAATATAACAATTTCTTTAGCAGGACGAATTTCAATCATAAAGATGACTGTTCTACCAAGACTCAATTTCTTAGCTAGTATGTTACCTTTATCTCCACCAGACGGTTTTTGGGACAAACTTCTGAATAGGTCCTGCTAAAGAAATTGTTATATTAATCCACTTTTTTAGGTCATCTTTAATTGTTGTATACATTCTTTTGTAGTTCTTTGCTACTATTGTGTCTAATGAGGCATATATATATATATCGATTCCCAAATACTTAAAGTGTTGGACGATCTGCAATTCTGTATTTAGGTTTAGTTCAACCATGGCACTATTGAGAGGTAAAAGACATGATTTATTCAAATGTATCTTGTAACCAGATGTTTAACTAATTTAGTTCGTAGTTGGTACCTCGTCCAAGTACAGTAGTAGATCATAGAAATCTAGGTGACCACTGATTGCCTGTCAGAACCATAGCACTTGCATTATTATATAGGATCTTCAACATAATCATACATTTTGCCCCAAAACCCATTCTTTGCATTGTATGCCACAAAAATGGCCATTCTAGCCTGTCAAAAGCTTTTTCAGCATCAACTGATAATACGGCGCAAGGCGATGTTATGTCTGCTGCAAAATGAATAACATGCAGTAGTCTCCTGATATTATCTGATGAGAATCGGTTTTTCATAAAGCCTGTTTGGTCATAATGAGGAAGGACTTTCTCCAATCGTCGAGCTATTACTTTGGCATAAAGTTTGATTTCTGAATTTGTAAGTGATATTGGTCTAAAACTTGTTCATACATTTGGGTCTTTCACACCGTTATAAAGGATTTCAGATTTTGAGACAGAAGTAAACAAAATAAAAGTTTTACATATAGTATGTGAGTGGTGGGTTCAGGAGTCTACAGTCTTATTGCCTTTGTGATAAAAAAACTGTCCCAGAGTCTGGTGGTCTTTGTGCGGAGGCTAGCCGAACAGCACTCAAAGCTTAAATCAATGCTTGCTGAAAAAATACACTCATGGCCACACAGCTCAAATCAGGCTATTTTGACCATGGAGGATGGAGGTCACAGAAGGAGAACGTGTTGTTGTTGTTACATACTGACAGCATGTGTAAAGGTTTCAGATGTCACAAACCTTTTCCTGGACCTGCTCCGCTGCAGGGGCCGCCGGGTCCTTGCGGTTCTGTTTGGATCTGCGTCTAGGTGTTGTTTTGGGTTGGGACTCTGTCTCAGACTCGGACAACACAGGGGCCGCCTCCACCTCCTCAGGCTCCACCTCCAGCTGTTTAGTGATCCGGATCCTGACAAAGGATAACATGTAAAGAGCAGAGGTCTACACAAGGTACGGAAACTGTTTGCCATGTAAGAAAAAGTCTATACATTTTCTTTCCAACCAATGACTACGCCCGTTTCTAACCTGCGGTGTCCCATGACGATCATCCTCAGCTTGTCTCCCAGGTCCTGCATCTCATGGATCTGGACAAAGGTGCCTGTAGAGTAGATGGAATCCAGAGACTCCACCACATCTGACTCATCACTGCAGGAGACAAACAGACGTGTTGTTAGCCCATTTCACAGGTCATTGCACTCATTGATTAGTCTTCATGACACACTTCCCATTAAAGTAGATCCAAGCAGATACAAATGATAGATGAGATATATTTACAAATTATCTGCAGACCTAAGACAAGATGAAAACAAGTCCTCCAGGAAGGAATCTGCTTGTATGGTGCATACATCGACACAGTAAGAGAAATTAAATTATAAGAAAATAACCAAAAATAAATATACTCAAAAATAACTACTGTAAAAAATGACAAATAAAAGACAACCAATTATATTTTCTGTTCTTAGTTTTTTGCATATCTAGATTTTGTGTAAATATTTCTCTATATTTTGTAATGTTAAAATAGTTTTTTTAATAGTTTTTTATAAATGTGATATTTTATTCTTACAATTAAATGTATATTACTGTGTCTATGTATGAATCGCACATACACCAAAGCAAGTATGTGTATGTGTGAACCTACCTGGCAATAAACCTGTTTTTAAAGATGATTCTGACTCTATTGAAGCCCCTCTAATGTCACAGAAATGTACTCTCTTTCAAAAACTGTTGAAAATACTGACACTGACTATTAACCCCTCCCACATTATTATGCGTTACATCATATGAACCATTCCTCTTAGAAAATATAACCTGGCAAATTATACAGTATAATTTTGCAGATTTATGTTCGATAATACTTATTTTGAAAGTGCACAGCTCTTTCATTTTAATTTCTGATTTATTAATTAGTCATTTTCTTGCCGTACTTATTTTTGAAAAAAAAATATATATATATGTAGTTATTGTAAACATTTATTTTATATTTGTAAATGTAAAAATAGTTTATATTTCTTCTATATTTGCTCCTTTTTAAAACCTAATTCATCTTATTGTGTTTACATGTGCACCAAAGCAAATGTGTAAATAAACCTGATCCTGAATCCCTGAAGCTGATTCAAAATAAAAGTCTCCTATTGGCAAATCGATCCAAAGTTTTTATTGTGAAGTTGCAACAAAAACTAGAGAATGCAATTCCTGAAGAAATTGCTAGTGGGAATGCTTTATGCTGAAAATCTGACGCTAAACTGCTATGCTGGAATGTAATGTGTAAGAAAAAAAGTGAAGAATTTAGATTGAAATGATACATGAACACTGGGGGTTTGAATATGTGATGAGAGAAGAAAAGAAAGTAAAAAGGCTTGGAAAAGCAGCAGAATATTTGAACTGCAAACTTCTGAACTAACTGGATGGCGAATGATCTGTCGCCATGGCAACGGCATTTGTCGACACCCCATACTACGCTTAGATGCGTTGATGGCTGCATCGTTACCAAACCTGTGAAGTTTTGGGGCGTTTGGAGCAGTTTCACTGAAGTTATGAGAAAACCGTGTTTCATGGCGAGCATTGTGTTGCCATGGCAACGGCATTTGAAGAAATCTCAAAACTGTCCAGTAGATGTCTTCACGGCTGGACTGTTAGCACACATGTGAAGTTTGAGCACTTTTTAAACATTTTCATAGGAGTTATAGCAACATCATGTTTTATGGCGAGGGATGCGTTTCCATGGAAACGGCATATGGTGAGATCTCAGAATTG